ACCTCAACATGAGGCAACGCAGGTGGATGGAGTAGTTAGAGGACTACGACTTCACTTTGCATTACCATCCCGGTAAGGCAAACGTGGTGGCTGATGCACTTAGCCGGAAGTCGCGGAGAGTTATGGCTAGTATGGCTTCCTGGGAGTAGAGGATGCTCAAGACTGTGGGACAGTTCGAATTATGTTATATGGGTCAGGCTCAGGGTACTTTGGGGAGTTTGGTGGCTACGCCATCTCTACTGAGCAGGGTGATTGAGTCCTAGGGACAAGATACCGAGTTAGTGTCCATTAGAGACCGAGTACGATTGGGTACGGGTGATGAAGGCTGGGTTATTCACACAGATGGTAGTCTTCGGTTCAGGGGACGAATTGTGGTTCCCCAGTCTGCGGAGCTTAGAGAGGAGATCCTCAGGGAATTTCATTGCTCCCGTTTTGTGGTACATCCAGGGAGCACGAAGATGTATCATGATCTTCGTCGCCAGTATTACTGGAGTGGAATGAAGAGGCAAGTTGGTGACTTTGTCAGTCGATGTCTCACATGTCAACAGGTTAAGGCTGAACACCAGAGACCAGCAGGTTTACTCCAGCCTTTGGAGGTAGCTGAGTGGAAGTGGGAACATATCACGATGGATTTTGTGACCCATTTGCCACAGACATCACGAGGTCATGATGCGACGTGGGTGATAGTGGACCGGCTTACTGAGTCGGCACACTTTTTGCTGTGCGAATGACCTTCACACTAGAGGAATTCTGTAGGTTATATATGCGGGGAGATTGTCCGGCTGCATGGAGTACCCGTATCTATTGTATCGGACCGAGATCTCAGGTTTACGGCTCATTTTTGGGAGAGTTTTCAGCGAGCCATGGGGACACAGTTAATGATGAGCACTACTTTTCATCCCCAGACGGATGGTCAGTCTGAAAGGACTATCCAGAGTTTAGAGGACATGCTACAAGCATGCGTCCTAGATCTCAAGGGTAGCTGGGAAGATCACTTACCCTTGGTGGAGTTCGCATACAATAACAGTTACCAGACGAGCATACAGATGGCACCCTATGAGGCGCTATATGGGAGGCCATGTCGNGCATACAATAATAGTTACCAGGCGAGCATACAGATGGCACCCTATGAGACACTATATGGAAGGTCATGTCGTTCTCCGGTTTGTTGGACGGAGGTAGGAGAGAGGTCTTTTACGGGTGCAGAATTGGTTAGAGACACCTCGGAGAAGGTGGACTTGATTCGGAAGTGTCTTCTCACGGCTCAAAGCCGGCAAAAGAGCTATGCTGATAAACGGCGGCGACCTCTAGAGTTTGAAGTGGGAGATCATGTCTTCTTGAAGGTTATGCCTAAGAGAGGAGTGGTCCGGTTTGGTAAGCGGGGGAAGCTGTCGCCGAGATACATCGGGCCCTTCGATGTACTTAAGAGAGTGGGTACAGTTGCTTACCGGTTGGCGTTACCGCCAAATCTATCGGGTGTTCATGCAGTATTCTATGTCTCTATACTCCAGAAGTATACTTCAAATCCGACACATGTGGTGGATTGGGGTGAGTTGACTGTTGATGCGGATGGGACCTTCGAGGAGGGACCGGTGGGCATCATAGATAGCCGGGAACAGGTTTTGCGAGGCAAGACCGTGCGGCTAGTGAAGGTGCTATGGCAGCATCGAAGAGTAGAAGAGGCGAGATGGGAGCGCGAGGACACTATTCGTAGCAATTAACCTTTCTTGTTTGAGGATGGAGGTACATTGTTGTGGTCATTTAGCATTAATTGACTATTGCATATGCATGTGATTGTATGTGCATGTGTATGTGAATTTCGGGGACGAATTCTTCTAAGAGGGGAAGAATATGAAACCCGGGAAAAATTTGAATTTTTTCTGAAAAAAATGGCAAAATGGTAATTTGTAATCCTAATGCGTATTTAAAATACATATTTTTATAGAGCTCAGATGAGACAGTGGACCTCAACGTTGGATTCGCATCGCGAAATCTAGCTGTCCTGTCAATTTTCGTCGAATTTCGAGATAGTCGAGTTTTTTGTATTTTTCGAGGCGAGGGGCGTCCGGTGACCCCCAAAAATAAAATTTTAATAAAAATTTTGAAATTTAAAAAATATTTTAATTAAAGTTCATATAAAATATTTTGAATTTAAACTGGTACAAAATAAATCGTTTCGGGGCAAAAATGGACCCGAATCAGTGAAGGACACGTGGCGCAACTCGGGCCAAGTATTGAAAAGTATAAATAGGGGCTAAATCAGATATTTTGCTGAAGGATTTCTGCATTTCAGCTGGTTCCAACGTGTGAGAGCAAGAGGGAGAGAAAAAGGGAGAAAACAAATCTTCCTTCGCCGATTCTCGGAGTTCCGTCGCTCAGATCAACTAGGACCAAGAGCCAAAATTCATCTCCTCAATGAGGGTTATGCGTACGTACCAAAAAGAGTGGATTTCACCAAAGATCCAAAATGATATTTTGAAAAAAAATCAAAACTTTGAGGTTGATTTGGTGTTATAGAAGTTCTTACACTTCTATTGAGGTAGGGTTCCCTCATACCTTGGTTTTATTCTTACCTTAAGTGGGCTTTTAGAGGGTGAAATTGGTTTATATGTGGGCTGTCCAAGGGCTGTCCAAATGGACTGTTTTGGTGCTAAAATTGGGGCTGTTTTGTGCACTAATTAAGGGCTGTTTTGTGCACTAATTAGAGGCTGTTTTGCGCACTAATTAGGGACTGTTAAGGGGCTGAATTTGGGCTGTTNTGCTAAAATTGGGGCTGTTTTGTGCACTAATTAAGGGCTGTTTTGTGCACTAATTAAGGGCTATTTTGTACACTAATTAGGGACTGAATTTGGGCTGTTTAAGGGGCTGTTAAAGGGCTGAATTATGGACTATTTTTAGGCTATTTTGTGGGCTATATATGGGCTGTTATAAGGTGATTTGTATGGGCTATTTTGTGGTTTAGATAAGAGCCGTTACGATTCATTCAAGTTCAAGGGGCTGATTCGTTTGACAATGAGAAAGAGAAAGAGTCGTTGAGTTAAGAGAGAGGTAGAAGCAGGGCGATTAGGTTTAGAGCAAAAATACTTAAGAGGGCCAAAATCTTGGTTTTTATAGTCTTTAAATTGACCCACCTGATTTATGAACAACCATCTAGTTCAGTGGGTTTTGGCAAGAACTATCCGGTTCAATGGGTTTTGACCAATTTTTGTGTTAAATCGATCTAATACACTATCTGGCCTGGTTTGGTGACCAGTTCACCGGGTCAACTGTGGGGCCGAATCGGGTTTTAAAATACTAGTTCTAATAATAGGATTTGAATCCACATCTCTACCCCCATCATATTTTCTAGCAACCACCAGCATAAAATAATTGGGATAATTTTACACACCTTATTGACATGAATGGTTGGGCATTCACTTTTGACATTTGTTTTGTCAATGGTAATCCATTTTCAAGAAAGAGCATATTAGGTTTATCAAGTAAGAAGAATACATAATCAATGGTAGATCACTCAAAATCATCACAATTTCCAAGATTAAACTTTAATTTAGTCTTTGGTATGTGTATATATATATATATATATATACACATATATAGATCAATACATGCTATATACATATCATACATAAAACAAGTCAATTCTTTACATTTGGTTTCATATACACTAAAGGATGGATGATAAACAAGCAAAAAAAATTCAAAGGGTTAATTGCACCAATAGTCCTTGAAGTTTACAACTTATTGAAATTTTATCCCTAAAGTCCCAACTTAGTCAATTTAGTCCTCAAAATTTGGGTTTTGAACCAAAGTTGTCCTTCTCCCTACCTGTCGTCCAAATCTCTGACGAAAAACAACACATGCACAACATGTGTATAAGACATAAGGGCATCACTATCTTTTCTCTTTATTTTCCTGCCCATCCAACCACCTTCAGGGCACATGCGATGCACATTGTGAAACATCAAATCGTCACTTCAAACAAGGCAAGAAAGACCAATTTCATTTGTCAAGGGTTCAATGAAATTGGAGAAATTGGGGAAATTAGGTTTTGTAGCGCTGAAGTGCATCATCTTCAGAGAATTGAAGGTTGACAACAATGGACTAGAAGGTTCAATGAGTATCAATTGAAGGACGATTGTTTTATTGAAGATTATGGTAAACATTTACAATTTGGTTTGATGACGTTTTGCAATTTTTTTTAAAAAAATCATATTATGACAACTGTTTGCATGCAAAGAACTATGGATTTGAGTGTGTTTCAAAAAGTTGTTGCATGCATGGCCCCAAAAAAAGAACTAATGTTGATGTTATGTTGGTGTAGTGGGTTCTTTATGCACTAATATAAAATTTAGTAACATGTGGTCCCCCAATTTTTTGTTTTGTGTTGTAGAGAAAGATTTCAAATATTTTACTTTAGTATTGCACCAGAATGGTGAATTTCGAAATAACACAAAAATGGTTTATGAGGGGGGTAAGGTCGAATACTTCCATCACAAACAACTAGATTATATGTCATTGTTGGAGCTTGATGAAATGGCTAAGCAGTTAGGATACGAAGGGGAGATTCTGAGGTATCATTACTATATACCAGGAAAAGACTTGGATTCTGGGTTAATTTGTTTGTTTTACGACACACAAGTATTCACTGTCTTCAATACATTGTACCCTAACACTGTTGCTGACGTTTACATAGAACATCGAACAATCGAGGATGTTATTGATGGCCAAGACTTCATAAATGATTAAGTTAGAAAGAGACATTCAGTTGTAATTGAGGAAATTAATGAACATGATACAGATGGGTTAGAACATAGCCAGGTTACTAAAGTCCTCAAGACTGTAATAGAAAAAAATTGCTAGAGTATTCTGAAGTCAATGCAAGTGGTGATGCTAGAGGAGAAGAATAGAGAGTCAATGGAGGAGAGGACTAGAGAGTCAATGAAAGAGAGGACCAAAGAGTTAATGAAGCAACAGATAGAAACGTTGAGGAGGAAAATGGCATGCCTAAGGAGAGAACTAGGGAGTTAATCAGGGATAGTGATAGTTCTAATTATTCTGAGTTTTATAAAATTGAATATGACCTTGATGAGGATGACAGATTGTATGAGACAAATGTGGATAAAGATGTTGAATGGGTTGGTGTAGGTGATAAGGGCAAGGGTGTGAAGGATGGTACTTCAGCTTTTCATGGTACATGAAGATGATGTGCATTCTGACTTTGCAGATTCAGATGAATTAAGTAGTTTTGATGATTCATCTTCAAAGGATGATGGTGTCAATGTGAGGAAGCCAAAGTTCCCTAAGTTTAGATCTGCCACTGACATGAAAAACCCATCTTTTAAGCTAGGAATGTTGTTTGGAACAGCTACTAAGTTGAAGGATGAGAATATGCAATTAAGGAGGGAAAACAAATAATATTCAAGAAAAATGACCATGTTAGGGTTAGGGCAGTTTGTAAAGGGAAATGTAAGTAGTTGTTATTTGCATCTGTAATGGAAGATGGGAAAACATTCTAGGTTAAAACAGTCAATGGCAAGCACATATTTGGAAGATATTTTCACAAGAATGAAAACTCAACTTGGATTGCTAATACATATGTGGATGATATTAAGAGGAATCATGCATGTCCAATGGATGCTTTCATAGAGAGAATAATGAAGGAACACCAAATTACTGTAACACCTCATCAGATTTACAGGGCAAAAAAGAAAGGCAAAGATAATGATTGAAGGTAGCCATGCAGAGCAGTACTCCAAATTATTTGAGTATGTTGAGGATTTAAGGAGGACTAATCCAAACAGTATAATAGCTATAAAAATGGATGATTTGTCAAAGCTTGAAGGTGAGCCTAGGTTTGAAAGAATGTATATTTGTTTAGATGCACTAAAGAAGGGTTTCAAAGAGGCATGCAAAACAATATTGGGTTTGGATGGTTGTCATTTAAAAGGTCCTCATGGTGGCCAACTTCTCTCAACAGTGGGACTAGATGCCAACAATAATATGTTCCCAATAGCATGGTCTGTGGTAGAAATGGAAGGAACAAACACATGGTCATGGTTTCTGAACCTTCTGGTGCAATACCTTCAAGTAAGAAACACAATTAGATGGACTATAATGTTTGATAAGCAAAAGGTACATTTACTTTTATCTCTTTTTTTTATCTAGTCTACATTAAATACTATCATTGAACTGAATTTTATATGATATTGTGTATATAGGGGCTAGAACGTGAAATTTATGAACTGCTTCCAAATGTTGAACATTAGGCATTGTGTTAGACATTTATACAACAATTTCAACAAGAAGCACAAGGGTAAAGCAATTAAGGATTTAGTTTGGGTTGCTACAAGATCAAGTTATGTAAACTTGTTAAAAGTGAATATGGAAAAAATGAAAGCTAAAGATGCAGAGGCATGTGCATGGCTTGATGATAAACATCTAAGGAATTGGTCTAGGTCCCATTTTAGCACACATCCTAAATGTGACATATTATTTAACAATATGTGTGAGTGTTTTAATGCTTACATACTTGGGGCTAGAAACAAACCAATCATATCAATGTCAAGATGGGAACGACAATGTCAGCTTAGAGAGAGAAACTCTACCTTCTCTCTAGAATTCCCAAGTTCATGACTACAACACCAAGTTCTTCTCAAATCCCACCAAAACCACCAGATTTAAAAACTATAAATGTCCCAATAGCACAACCAACAACACAACCGACCTTTGCTTCTCTCTTTAAACAACCAACCAATCCTAAGCTTGAAGATTCTTTACCCAAGATTGAGAAACTAGTGGTGTTCTATGAAGGTGAACCGGTCTTCTACTTCACCAATGAAGAAATTGAAAACTCTTGTCAATCCATGCAATATTCATTGATTGGTAAATGCTCATATGGCAGGCCGTCTCTTGGTGTAATCAAGGAGGTAATAAGATCCAAATGGCAACTCAAAGGAGAATTTGAAGTGGGTTCAATTGATCAAAGACATATACTAATTCGGTTCCAACTTCAAGAAGATTATGTGAAGACATGGTTGAAGGATGCTACGTTGATCGAAGATTATTTTTTTCGATTCTTCAAATGGTTCTCAGGTTTCGTACCAGGGATTGAACCTTCGATTGTTCCTATGTGGATATCTTTACCAGGCCTGCCTCTAAATTTCTTTAAGAAGAACTATTTAGAGGTCTTAACCAAACCTATTGGGAAAGTCTTGGCTTTTGATCAAGCGACGTTATCATTATCAAGACTGGGTGTTGCAAGAGTATGTGTGGAGGTGAACCTACTAGCTAACAATCCATCCAGAATTTGGCTAGACATGGGAGATGAAGGAGCTCGTTGGCAGCATATTGTGTATGAGAAGAACAAGAAGTTCTGCAAAGCCTGCAAAAAGCAAGGCCACAGCGAGGAAGATTGTCGAAGAAGGAAACCTCAAGAAATTATGGAAAATAGAGATTTAATTCCTAAAGAAGCCAAGGTGAATAAGGTTATAGTAGAGAATAATAAGGGAAAGCATATCCAGCAAATCTCGGGAAATTATGGAAAGTCGAATATGGAGAATATTAGGAATAAAGGAACTCAATCGCAATTAAAAATTTCAAAATGTGCCACAATATCAAATTTGGAAACAATAGTATAGGCAGAAACAAATTATAGGGCAGCAAGGTAATTTGGTGAATGTTCAAGATACAATGGAGCAATGACAGGAAATGTATGAGAAGGACACAATGAGAGTGATGGAGACTAGTGACCACTCGAGGAAAGATAATAGCTCTTTTCCTCAGGCTGATACTAGAAGCCCAACTAGTCCAACGGAGGAAATTCAGGAAGCAAATAAGGAAACTTTGGATATCACAGAGGAGGAAATTCGAGATACAAGAAAGGAAACTTTGAAGAAGAAAATGGAGGATATTCGGGAGACAAGTACTGAAGCTCTAGAGACTGTAACAATGGCGAATCCCAATGATCAGCTGAAAATGCAGAATTCTGATTTCTCATTCCTGGTGGAACGGGATTATAGTTGTGCTGAAAATTTGGATCTCCCTTAGGATGATGAAAGGGGTCTAATTTGCGCTAATTTACCTCCTGATAAAGGCTTTTACTCTGATGAAGAAATTAAAAATAATCCTGAATATGTTGAAATAGGCTTTCTTAATTCAAATAATGATGAGAGTTTTGAGACAGATTTACAAGTGAATGATTCCACTCACTCTATGATTACTAGATCTAAGTCTAGGAGGTAGTTAACATCCCAAATTTCTCATGATTAATACGATTTCTCGGAATGTGAGGGGGGCAAACAAAGAAGCCTCTCGAATTAGACTTAAGGAACTAGTTAAGTTAAATGATGTCTGCTTAGTATCTCTTCTTGAACCAAAATTACGGCCTTCTAAATTACAAGCACTGTGTGGTTACCTGGGATTCTCTTCTTCTTTGGCAAATCCAATGGCTAAAAAACATATTTGGATTCTTTGGGACCATAGAGTGAAGGTGAATGTGATGGTTGTGCACGAGCAAGATCTCACAATAGAAGTATCTTTATGGGTTAATTGCCTTTTTTTTATTACAATCATTTATGCTAAGTGTGATCATTTACTCAGAAGACCATTATGGTCTCATTTGTCTGATATACAAATAACTGATGCTCCTTGGATGGTTGTGGGAGACTTCAATGCAATTGTTTCCTCAGCAGAGCGAAAGGGTGGATCATCGCCTTCTCCGGCCGTGATGAGTGAATTTGTTTCTTTTATAAATAACATGGGCTTGTATGACTGTGGTTTTTCTGGGTCGTTGTTCACTTGGTGTAATAACCAACAGGGATTGACTCGGATGTGGCAAAGAATTGATAGGGCATTGACTAATGTGTAGTGGGTGATAGATTTGAGAAGACAGAGATTGAACATGCTAGTAGAATCCATTCTGATCATTATCCCATTATATGTAGATTTTTGGAAATTTCTGCTCCAAGGAGAATATCCTATTTCAAATTTCTAGATATGTGGACGGAACATCATACTTTCGCACAATTGGTGGAGGAAAAATGGGCTGGTAATTACTCCAACAATCTGATTGAAAATGCATTCTTGAAGCTTAAGTACTTGAAACTACACTTGAAGAAATGGAACAAAGAAGTTTTTGGCAATTTGTTCAAAAAGATTAAGTTAAAGGAGAAGCAGCTGCAGCAAGCAGAATTAAGGGTGGAGGAAGATGATTTAGAGCACAACAATCAGACTTTAAATAATGCGAAAGTGGAGCTGGACAGAATTCTACGGTTAGAGGAAATGTATTGGAGGCAAAAAGAAAATGTGAAATGGACACTCGAAGGAGAAAGGAACACCAAATTGTACCATGCCATCACAAGAGGCAAAGTAGCAAAAAACAGAATTTTAAGAATTAAAAATGATGAAGGGAATTGGTTAGAGGAGGAAGATGCAATCGCTAGCAGTGTAGTGGACTTCTTTTCTGCACTTTATAAATCAGAGGCCCACATAATGGACCCTGAGTTATTTGGTCACTTTGGAAGAAAACTTAAAGCTCACCTCCCCGGCTACCATGGAAGAACTCAAGTCTGTCGTCTTCGGAATGTCTACTCAAAGTGCGCCAGGTGTTGATGGTTTCTTAGGTAAATTCTTTCAGACTGCTTGGGAAGTCATTAAGTGTGACATTTTGGATGCTGCTGATTTTTTCTTGTAAGGCGGAGTGATACCACAATCAGTTAATGCCACTATTCTTTCTTTGATACTCAAAAAAGACATGCCATCAACATTTGCTGATTTTAGGCCCATTAGTCTTTGTAGTTTTTTATGCAAAATCTTCACAAAGTTGTTAGCAACTAGGCTTAGTGGCTTACTTCCTAAGCTTATCTCATAGGAGCAACATGGTTTCGTCCAGGGCAGAACTATGAGTGATAGTATTTCCCTAGCCCAGTTTATGATGAATGAACTACATAGAAAGGTGGAGGCCAGGAATGCTATTGTTAAGCTAGACATGATGAAGGCAATTGATAGACTGGAGTGGGATTTTTTGAAACAAGCATTGAAGAGTTTTGGATTTTCTGAAGACTTTGTTGACATTGTTTATAATTGTCTGAGTCATCAGAATATTTCTTTGAATATAAATGGTGTTTGGCATGGCTTCTTTCCTAGTTTGAGAGGATTAAGACAAGGTGATCCATTATCACCTTCTCTTTTTATCCTGGCAGAGGAGGTGTTGAGCAGAGGTTTGAGGTGCCAATATGAGCAAGGATCAATAGAAGGATATCACACTGGTAGGGGTTCAAGGCTCTTAAGTCATCTACTATTTGTGGATGCTACTCTCATTTTTCTCAAGGGACACAAGAGGTCCATGGCTAATCTATTGAAATTCGTGGGGAGGTATGAGCAATCATCTGGTCAGAAAGTGAACAAGCAGAAGAGTTCACTCTATTGCTCTTTTAATATCTCAGTTGCAAGGAGAAGTATGTTATCACAGGTTACAAACATCCCTCTTAAGCAATCACCTCTTACCTACTTGGGTTGTCCAATTATTAGGCGGAGAGTCAAGCTCATCTATTTTGAAGATATATTGCAGAAATTTCAATCACGGTTGGTGGGTTGGTATGCTAAGCTTCTTTCTAATATGGATAGGATTGTCCTTATCAAATCGGTTCTATGTTCCTTTCCTATACATCTGCTAGCTTCTCTGAACCTGCCTTAGGGTATCATAGCTAGAATGAATTATGCTATGTCTTCTTTTATATGGTCTAATAAGATAAATACAAGGAAAAGACATTTGGTATCATGAAAGTCCATTACTTTGCCGTTGGATGAAGAAGGTTTGGGAATTAGGAAATTTGAAGAATGTGCAAAGCTCTTTTAGAATGAAACAAGTGTTGCAGGCTAAGGTGGATAAACTATCTCAGACCAGGCCTGAAGAGGGGTCTGTTATCAAAATATGAAGAGAAGATGGTTATTGATCTCCATGCTCAACTTGGCAATAGGTTATTTTTTTTTCCCTCTTGCCATTGATGGACATCCGAATTACTTGTAAATTTTGATACAGATCTCGGCACAATAGTCTTACACTATAAACGCTTACACACATAATTCCTTCCATGAGATGATGAGTGGCAGAAATGAACTGCTGAAAGAATGAGTCCTACTTGAGGAATCCATTCCCCATGCCTTCTATCATTGTTATCATCTTCTTTCTATATTAATAGAATGTAGTTCTTGCATTAGCCACTGTCAAACAGCTGAGCTGTCCCAAATTACTTTAGTAAAGTCCACTAATAAAGCTATGATAAAAAAGACCAAGGTTTATGTTGTCCAAGAAAAAGTTTCTAAGCAATAGCTGGGATACCTTCTTATATGGACCAATTCTAGTTGCCATTAAAAATATTACAAATCTATGTTTACAAATCTATTTTGCTATTGGATGCAAAAACCATGGACCAATTCTTGTGGCCATTAAAAAGTTTTCTACTCTTTTTGACTAATATTTGTATAGATGGTCCAAGATTGCTTCTCAGCTCCCTGGAAGAACTGCTCAGGTTATTCGCATTCAAAGAGTAAGGATTTGATAGTAGTTGGGTTATGGCTATCCTTCATACACTGTCACAAAACATGTTCAAGTCAGAAGGGATTTCAAAGCACACTACTCATTTCTTTTTTGTTGATCTTTAACCTAGAATGATAACTAGAACCGCAAGGAAGTCCAAAACTTGGCTCCATTGACACCACATCACAACCTGTCTTTAAACTAATGCAAGGGTCACAAGTATATCTCAAATTACTTAACCATGGTCATTTACATTCTACTTGTTACCAAAATAGTATAATTGTATACTAATTATGATTTTTTAAGAAAAATTAGATTTTTATTTTTGATTTTATTTCAATAAATGATATAATAGAACATGAATTTTGGTTGTAAATTTCACGCTCTATTATAAATGACTTAGACCCCTTATTTGATTTTTTAGTTTTTTCCCAATAGATAATATAATTGTATACTAATTAGGATTTTTTTTAAAAAAATGACTTTTTATTTTTTATTTTATTTCAATAAATAATACAATAAAACATGAATTTTGGTTTTAAAATTTAAAATATCTGATATTCTATTTTTGATTGAAGTATTTTTTGTCTAAATATAATATTTTAAACTTGAGGAACTTATGTATTATATGCCTATAAACTTCAGGAGTCTGAGTGTAATTTACTGATGGATATATTAACAGACATTTGATAACAGAGTCTAAGTGTTACACTTATACAAACTTCATAAAGTATGTGTGTAATATTTCAAATGTCAAAAAATCTGAGTAATTAAGTGATAAAGCTTAAGGGGTCTGGATATAATTATCCTTATAATTTATGGTGGTGCTACTATGCTACTTGGACTTGGTATGCACAGCAGTTGTGGGTGTGTCCACTTTGTTATAAATGTCTTTCCCCCCGCCCCCTCCTTTTGTCATATATATAGATACATTAGGGCTAACATGTGCCTGAAGGCACGGTACAACGTAAGTGATAAGTGATGAATTTGGAAGAAAAAAAATTCAATGTGAATGATTTTAAAAGGGATGTTGGTGACTGTTGAATGAGTTTATTTGAAATCGTCGATTGAACTTATTGAAGTCTTTCCTGTTTACAATATAGAGAGATGATCTATAAATCATTACTATTTGTCCATCATCTGTAGCTTTTTTTTGACATTCGTGTGCAAGTCGCTCATAGTCATGGGTGCCTGCCCTAAATTAGTGAATGAGAATTGTTTTTTTTTTTTACTCCCTGGACAAGATCAGTAAAAATTGGCTCAAGTATCCTACAAAACTTTGAATGAGTTGGTTATATCATTTTCTATTTTCCTTGATGCTGATGGTTTTTAGAAGGGCCCAACAATTGTTTGAGTTGGACAAATCTCCCTTACCTGTCTTTACCGATAACCATGTCATGTCAATCCAACATTGATTCTTTGTTTGAGAAGTTGGAAGTGTCCATAAAGCATAGAACGATGCTAAGATATTCCTAATTTCTCTATTGTTTTATTTCAATTATGATGGCTACAGTGTTGGATGATGAGAAAGACATCCAACTCTTCAAAAGGTTTATATATGAATTGGCTAATCATGTGGAAATTGTTGAATGACATCGTTCAAAAGGCTTTTATATGTGTTGGGGTTTCTTGCGAACGCTAAAATTGATTTGCCTTTGTTAATGAAGGGTTGAGGCTATTGGGATTTGGGAATGTCATATGTCCATTGTGAGTTGTTATAGAGGCCTTAATCAGACAATGCAGCCCTATTATGATCGGTTTCATGGGAGGCTTGCTGTTGGTGCTGAGTATAGTGCACAAAACATTAGTGTATAGTGCTTATAAGAAAGTAACTTTGTCAACATTACCCTTAAATTTTTTACGTTAAGTGATATATGTAGATGCTTGGCGCATAACAAGGAAGTTCAATGTCTACATGTCGCAGACTATTGTGTAAAACAGAAAAATACATGGTTATGGTACTGTAACAAACTTCCACATGGCGAACTGGCTTGAAGCGTGCACATTCATCTCTAATTTCAGATCAAGATTTTGCATGACCATTTGAAACTCTAAGAAGTGATGCAAGTCTGATAAAAAAAAGTTGGTGGAATTCATAATTTCTATGTATTGTGTCAAAAGTTCCAACAATTAATCCTGTGCTAATAAGGTGCAAATTCTGATTCAAGAACCTGAATTTCAGAACAGCGTGACATGCAAAATTGATTCTTCTCACAATATTATGGATCGTGTTGTAGAATTGATTCAGACGCAAATGGCAAATTGAGAACCCCAAAAAAAACCCACCTTTACTTTGCACCACCAAACATCTCGCGCCAGTCTTTAAAGCAGGGGTTCACCCGAGTCAATGCCATCCAAATAAGATGCAATGAGTAGTTTGATTAGTCAGTCGAATTTTGCAGGTATCAAACACTGATTTATCTTCCACAGAGAAACCATTAACAAAGAAGCAATGAGCAATCCTTCCACTGAGTCGCACTGGCACCTTGTTTATGCAAAGAATTTCCAAATCAGGAACAGGATTTACTCGGCTGCAACAGAGTCCAGCCTCGTCTCTCCCATATTAGTCGTCTCAAAATAAGGCTTAGATGGGAACACGAAAAGTGTGGATGCAGCAATTGATGGTTGAAACCCAGCTGAATATCTCGTCGTGGTCACAGTAACTTTTGGAAGACGTTGAGAACCTGATGCCAATGGGACAAGCTTGTAACCGAGGATGTGTGAAGATTTTGGCAGAACAAAGATCGTGTCATTGTGGGACCCCGATAACACAAAACTCTGCGAATCTGCCAACAAAACTTTGATCTCCTGGAGCAACTGTGTTTGATTCTGAATTCTAATAGTGTATGTAAAGGGATTGCCCAAAATGGCATGAGGAGGACACTCCAAACTCACAACCAATGGAGGCAACTCCACATTGACTTCAGGAAGGCTGTGTTTTGTCAACACTTCAGAGGCTGTTGAGCAAGAATCAGGTTGCTCCCCAGTTCCATATTTCCTCTTCCATCTCAAACACACTCTACCCATCTTGAGCTTTGGAAGATTTACATCAGGAATGACACAGAAAACCTTCTTAAATTCCTCTCCTGGGATAAGGAGGGCAGGTTCTACAAGGTCTTCATCCCCATGTCGAACAGTGCATGACGCTCCTATGGCATCATCTTCCACCTCAACAGACATGGATAGCAACAGCAACGGAACTTCCGTGCAGTTCTTAGTACTAACAAGGAGTATACTCGTTTCCTTTAGAGGTAGTGATGGCATTTGTTCAGAATCGGGAACTGGTTTTATCTTTGACAGCAAAAGAGGGTCTCGTCTGAATGGCAACATATACTTGTGGCTGATTATAACAGCAGTCTTGCCTTCAATCTGCAAGCTTTTGTGGACATGTAATTTCTGTGCATTAGGCTCACTGCTATATGGTGAATAACCCAATGACACATAAAGCATGACAGGTTTGGGACGGTGCCATCTAATTTCTAGTTTGCAAGACCATGATTCTCCCTCATTTAGAAATGGAACAGAAATTAACCCAAAAGAGTGCTGAATTTTCTGGATACTGTCAGCCCCAGTTTGAGATTCATCTTCACAAGCTAGTCCAGATATGCCGAGCAGCTCAACATGAAGGCTGTCTTCAGAAAATGGTTCTACTTCCCTTGGACTAAGCAAGCCACCACCTCTTGTATCCACCAGGTTAATCTTCAATTCACCAGAGTGGATGGCATGGCCCTTAGAAGAAACAGTCACGGGGATGATAAAACTCTCTCCAACTAATGCAGGACCAGAAGAATTCAATGTAAGATCCACTTGTGGGTCTGGTTCTTCAACTTGAGTAGCCTTCTGACCAGAAAATGCAAGACTGGGATCCTTGGTAGGAAAAGTTTCCACTTGGTCTTCAAACTTCCAAAGTTGTAAATCGTTCATCGAGGCAGGACTTTCGGCTCTGCAACAGATAGTGAAGTAGGGTCCGAGTTTTGCAATTATGTGTACACATTCAAGCTTTCCACTTTGCTCTGCATCATTCATAATGTTGTTTTACATGAGGATACAAAAGATGGGTCACAACTATAATCTTACTCTGAAGAAACGCACAAAACAAAAGAAGAAAATACTAAGACATTTGGCACCAAGGACTAGAAATCCGCATTACCAAGCAATGCTGTAAATGCAGAAAGCTAACTAGTTCAGTAAAATAAGTGTTGACTAAATCCCAGGTGGACAGACAAAACAAATATGAAGGACTGCACCTTTCATGAGAATCCAAAAGGTATCTCCGGAGGTGAAAAAAATGACCCTTCTTACGCAACCTACAACATAACAAAAAATTTATAACTTCTACATCCAATCTATTGGACAGGATGAACCAAATTTATCCTTTGTTTTCAGAAAGAAATAATATATCTGAGAGATGGATTGAAAATAAACTCTTGAAACACAACCAATCTAGCAGACACCTCCATTTGACTGCAAGTCTTAAGAGAGTTTACTGCACACCATCTAAAGGGAACCCGATTTCTTCCTATTTCGGAAATTTTTGAAACCAGGGGAGCCAATGCCAACAGATCAAACAATGTGACAAGTTGTCAGTTGTTCAATATCAAACAATGGCTAGACAGATGCACATAAATGGACCAGAATACGATGATTTTTTCGAATGGACCAAGGCCATTTCATTTGCTGGTTTCGACACCTCCCAGATTGAGGCAATTAGTGACACCAGGCTGTATATGAGCTTCTTGCATAACCACAAAGAACTAACCATATATATCCTTTCTTATTTCTCTTTCTGTATCTGGGGGTTGGGGGCAGGGGGCACATGGTGGAGCACTACATGTACTGCACTAGAAAATATAGAATAGCATAGATGGCTTACCAGATTTTATTTCATATGTCAACCGTAGCCATTTATTTGTAAGCAGGGTCAAAACAGGAGCTGTCTCCAGTCGGCGACCAGGTTGAACATTGGATATTGCAGCTGACTGGGGCCTCTGACCATTAATGATAATAAAATTACACTCAGACTGATTGAACTGGATCTCTAACTGATCAATTTCAACTGCAAGGGGTAATTGCGATAGAAGGGACAGTGTAATCAAGGTTGGTGCACCAGGCTTAACTATTTGTTCGTGGAAAGCAACTGATGCAAGAAGCACCACTCTAAGCGGGCTCACAAGATCAATCTCAAGGTAAAGGGGATGATCATTAGATACTTTGAGGCTATTGTTTCCTTTATTTGAAGCAATCCCTGATTCTCCACCGATAACCCTGAAAACTTCCTCGTGTACCACTTCTCTCTGGAGAAGACTTGCAGTACCAGCCGGACCACAATCCTTAAAAGATTGGACACCAGCTACGGTTAATATTGGCAGTGCAGCCATTTCAAGTGAGTACTCGACAAAATCTTTCGCTGAACCAAGTTTCCTTGAGCACTCTTGCAGGTAACCCAAGACCTCCCATAACAAAGTGGCCCAGCCCTCTTGCCTATAAAGACTTGCGACACTGTCAAACATCTGTTTTGCATCACTGAATTCACTGACAGCAAAATATTCCCTGGCCATCTGGAACCCACAGAAAGAGGCCATCCTCTGGGCCCTGAAGTTACTATATGCTTCAAAAGATTTCTTAAGAAGAGCAATAATTTCAGAGGAATCCTTGAACCCCTTCTCTTCAGTCAGAGCATAGCACACGTATTCTTCATCAGAAAGCCTGAAATATATATATATATATATATATACACACACACACATACATCAAAATTTGTAAAAGACCACAGAGCAAATCAAGGGATAAATTTTTAGGGTAATGACTTGGCAAACTCACGGTTGCATTGCAAACATGTCTCCCTGCTCAAGTAAACGAGCGAACTGACCCATGTAAATAGAAGGTATCACAGATTCAATACCCCCTTCATTCTCACCGGCAGTGTCAGACATAGACTGTGTGAGTTCTAAGCATGATCTCTTCTCCTTCAGGTAGTAAGCAGCTAACTATTTCAAGGGGAAATGTAAGTTACAATGTTGAAATAAACCAACAAATGGATATGATGTCCCGTGCTAAACCATTTGATAAATGAATACACAAAGGGAATGATCAACATATTTTTTGACCAGAGATCCAAACAATCTAACCATTGCTATGATTCTAAAACTATTTAGGCATGAAAAAGTATACATCAAATGGATGTTTAAGGAAGAGTCGGGCTAGGTAATAAATAAGAGGAGTCAATTGAGAAGGTTCAAAGGAAGAAAACAGGTCTGACTGGGAAGCTGCAACGATTGGGACAGCATCCAGCTGTAAGAGGTATGGATGGAATTGGTGATTCTCAAATTTTATCAGCTATTAAAGTGTTCATAACAGAAACCATCAATCAGTGGCACTATGAAGTTGACTACAGTGATGGAGATTATATGACAGCAACAAGCAACAATACGGTTAAGATAAACGACTGCCTTAAACCATTAAATAGGGTAACCTAAACAAAAAATCGAAACCAAATCAACAAGTGAAGATACATGCTCCAAAATGCTTGCACTTCTGAGTAGAATAATGCTGCCATGGTACTTAATTGCTTGCATGGTTCAGCCAGTAGTATTATAAAGAGCAAGCATCTGATAGAAACACAAGAGCTAATGGACATAGCAAATTACCAGATTTTCCAAAGGAGCATGTGCATGAAGAGCAGTGCAATGGGAAGTTTAACAAATCTTCAAACCAGATAAAATTCAAACATGGCAGTAGCTAAGAAAAGATATGAGGCAAAGCCACACCTGATAATAATAAGCTGGATAGAACTCCCACTCCGTTGGTCTATCTGCAGATCCTGAAACTTGTAATGAAACATTTTGATTAGTTGCAGAGCTCGTCTCCAGCAACTCACCAAATACCAAAAACTGCCTGCTCAACCATCCCCAGTGGAGAAAAGTAGCTTCTGGAGCACCCATGAGCCTCTTATAAAAAGCATTGTGACGGCGGAACCAAGTGATTGCTTCTATAACCTTCCCACCATGCAGTAACAATGTTGATATCTTGAAGTGCAACTGCTCTGCAACCGTTTTGATCTCTATTAAGCGCTGAATTGGAGGCAATCTTGTTGATGTCCCAATCATCTGCATATAGATTTAAGTGTAACTATGAAAGAAACGGTTCGTAAAATGGATACAAAAGAAAGTGACAGCAGAAAGAGTAAACTCATTAAACAAATTCCACTCTCTTGACAGTAAAACAGTAAACTTCTGCTGCAGCCTCTGGCTAAGAGCCCCCAAAACAACCACAAAGGTAAAATTAACAAAAAAAAATAAGGAGAGATATTTCACTCTGCCCATGGCTAAATGAAGAGGACACACGTAGATTGACTGATGTATTACATCCATGCTTTGAATACTATTGGGAAGCAAGAGAGGATGGGTCACATCATCCCCTATTTGCTGATCCTTTTGTGTTTACTCTGTTGGAGGCTCATGTGCCAAATTGGGTCTGTTGAAAAGGTGAATATGAGGGCCTTTGGATGGTCTTTTGGTGCACATCAGAGCAACTCAAGAAATTTATGTGATGTGAGAAGAAAAGAAAGTTCAAAGGGTGGTGGAATTTTTTGATCTATTGAGTTATACATCAAGATTGAACCATCATTGAAGTACAATAAACAGTGATGCAAACTGCGCTTATGCAAGAAAGTTAAACAGTGGCCACCTTATCAAATTTTCTATGCAGGGTTCGAGAGTTCCTCAATAAAACATTTGGAGGTGGACCCACCTTCAACACTAGAAGAGTTTAAGAGCATGAAGAGTGATGGTCGGTATGGAAATCAAGGGGCAGAGCATTGTAACTACCACCTGCCAACGATTATGTCTACATATTTCAGGTTGCCTCAATCTAAAATTTAATTGGGTTAAAAGCTCAATGATCATCCATAGCTCATGTGTATTGCGATTAATGCGGTGGTTGCCTTTTTAAGATGATATTAACAAGCCATATTGCTCGGCGTCATTGTTCTCTGAATTTTGCATGGAATTTTGAATCCACGCAGAAAGCTCCACAATAACATCAAGAAAATGTGCCAAAAGTGCCATCAGTTGGTAACACTAGATCGATGAGACTTAAACATTGAGTTTATAGGTATGACGCAAGAAAGGAATACCTCTCGCAGTGTATGATAAGCATCCTCATATAACCTCAAAGCTTCAACCCAATCTCTTCGAAACTCTGCATATACAGCAACCTAGAAATTCATAAGGTTTAGACAAATAATGAGCAAAGCAAAAAAGCTCACAGAGCACAAAAAGAGAGGAGACATCAACCAGACATCTTTATCCTTCAGAATTACTGAACTATTGTCATCAACTTTTTTGTTTTTGATTTCATAATTGGGGAGAAATAGTATTGAGGATTCTATCTTCTCTAAGTTTTGGCTGGTCCAGAGTGAATCTAAGAAATGATCCAAAGCACCATCAGGAAAAAGAACTAGCACCATGTTTCATCCTCAATAGGTTACTCAAATCAGGAAAATCACATGTACTATGTTTCATTGCTGAAAAAAATTCAGACTATAAAAGCTTTAAGAGGAGCACCCTAATTTCCTGTCATAGCAGCTACTCTATTCAGTAGTACAAAATTTGTTTCAAGTCAATAATAAATATTCAATTATTCGATCCAAAAAAAATCATTGACAACAAATAAAAATTATAGATCGAGAAATTAAGAAAAAAATGAAAAACATATTCCAAGCAATAAATCAGATATATTGTAATCCATAAAAGGAGATCCTTACTTTAAAGCAATGGCGGATATTCAGCTCTATAGAACTGACACTCTTTCTTTCAAGGCGTGTTTTAATTCTTCGGCCTTCATCCCTGTAATATGTATTTGATAGTTCTGCAACTATGTTGCCAAGCCTGCACAATGATTACTACGTAAGGACAATAATGTGAGACATATATGAAGTAAAATATCTCTAAGAAAATAGTTTTAAAGACAATTTCATGCCTATTTATGGATTGTTCAAGCTCTGAAGAATTGTTTGGGAAAAAGATAATAAGGTATTTGGAATCTACTTCTGCACGCTTCCGTAAAGCAATCATACGATCTTCACTGATGTCATCTGCATCAAATAACTTCAACACATTACCAATCCCTTCTCAAAATCCTAGTAATCTTCAAAAAGTTGAAGAAAAAAACAACTTTTATGATGTTGCCCCCTTATTTACCCTCCCCTCCCACACAAAAAAGTATAAATCAATAACTAATTTCCAAATTCATATAATTGAGGCAGCAATTAAACATGTCTTGATTCATAGCTTTATTTACAGTTATACTGTTGAGAAAATGAGGCTACACAAGTTAGCCCTACCTTCTCCCTCATCTCATATATATATGTATCTAAATTTAAACAAAAGACTAACATAACACTCTTGCGACATAGTTATTACATGAATAGCTCTACCGTATGGTTATTACAACCACAATGAGTGCACCAACGAGTGTCCTCTACCACCATGTCCTCCACGAGAACCACTAGACCCATCCTGGGAAACAACTAAAGCTGACCGATCGCTAATACAATCAGTACTCGGAGCGCGATGATCAGACAAAGTAGCACGCTGAAGGCGAGAACACATCGGGAAGAGATGGAAGTTTGGGACTGCCCAAAATCTGTGCCCAGATTTTGGGTAGTCTCTGATCGCAGCCCAGTCAAAAAAAGAACAACATTAACATCATCACATTGTTGTTCCATCTTTATAACATCAGAAGATATAGGTTGACACAATTTACGCTCTTCACAAATTGCCATAACTTTAGAAAAAGTACTCTGCAAGAGTCAAGGTGCCCAGTTCAAGACTAAATTACTGTCTGCAAACATCATAAATGCATGTGATATTACCAGTGCCAGAATACATGTGAGTCAACCTGTCCCAAATCTAATTGGCAGTATCTAAATAAAGTAAAGAGAAAATGATGTGAGGCTTCAATGCTAGTCAATAAGAGTGAAATAATCTGTGCATCTGCTTGTTCTAACTGGACAAAGCCAGGATCACTCTCTTTTGGTTTAACCTCCACTAAGTGTTTACGAAACTCTTTTCCCTTAAGAAAGACATCGACAGATCGAGCCCACACACATAATTACTCTCATTCAATTTAACAAATGTCATAGGAGTATTAAAGAAAGAAGCATGAGAAAAATTTGGTGGAGGAAAAGAGGTAATGGGAACATCACTAGTGGCTAAGGGAGTATTATCAACCTAAGGATCCATGCTCTCAAGAAAAAACCAAATAAAGGATGCAGAATCAATTGAAATGCTAAAACTCACTGCACAAGAATGAAAACAAAGAACCGGGCCAGTACCAACCAAAAGTATGGCTGAAAGCCTGCCGAAGATGATGAACCGGGCCAGAATCAGCAAAGAAATGGCCGGAAATCCTGCTGGATGGGCTGAACCGGCTTGGAAACCTACTGAAACTGCTTGAAGACCTGCTGAACCGGCTGGGGAAACTGGAAAATCTGCTGAACTAGCCTCAAAACTACTGAACGAACTGGAAAAGGTGCTGAACCGGTCGAAAAAGGTGATGACCTGGCCGAAAAAGGTGCTGAACCGGATGAATCGTTACTAAACCATGACTGCACTAGTACTGAACCATCGGGGTTGAACAGAAAACCTGTTGAACAGGCCAGACCAAGGGACTGGGCTCTGCTTTTGGTTTGGGCCTGGTCTGATTGTGGTCCTGGTCTGGTTTGCTGAGCTTGGGCTGGTTTGGGCTTAACCCAAATTCCGAATCCAAGAAAAAGATAACAACCTGTCCTCAATAAGAATAAGCCCACAGCTATAGCCAAACAAGGGTCTTCCCTTTCACAAGACAAACAGCTACTGGGGCAAAACCAGCGGCAATGGTGAACAGGAACAACAACTACAACACTAATCAACACGAGCACCAACAATATGGGGAACAACACCAACGGCGGTAATCACCATCCAACAACGATCGACTAGAGTAATCAACATCCACGACACTAACGACGATCGACCGGAGCAATCATCAACACAAACTCGAATCACGGCAGTGGAACCACTGAACAGAGACAACTGCCTCTTGACACAAAACTCAATATCTATCCATTCAACGGAAATTCACACCAGTGGGCGTCACAACCAACAGATTTTGTATTTTTTTTTTCATAGAGAAGAAGGACATTGAAAAGAGGAGGAATTATAAATCCTAATAACCTTGCTTTGATGCCATGTTAATATTGAGAGAGAGAGAGAGAGAGAGAGAGAGGGGCAGACGAGAGAAAGAGGCTACACAAGTTAGCCCTACCTTCTCCCATATGTGTGTCTATATATATATATATATAAATTTAAACAAAAGACTAATGTACCCTTCTTGGAATATAGTTATTACATGGATACCACTTATACATTCTAATATATACCAATCCATGCCTTAAAATTAATAATTTTCGGATGACTTTTTGTGTACTATACATTAATGTGACTCTACACAATAAAATCTTGCCCTCAATTTATTTAGATGACCTTTGACTGCGGATACATGAGTTGAATTGAACTAAAATTTTTGTCACAAAGCATATGCTGGTATTTGTGTAGAAATTTATCACAAAGCATTTGTTGGCATTTGTGTAGGTTTTTTGTTTGCTCTGGTCTTTTTCCCTCTTAAGCAAACAGTAGAAGAATTTCACAATAGATATTGGTGTGATTGTTTTCTGCGTGATTCTATCATACATGTGGTAAGATGAGTGAGCACATAGGCTCACAATAACAGATGAGTGAGCACATAGGTTCAGAATAAATAAGCAGTGTCCTTATAATATGTGCTGACAGCTATTATTTTTATGTGCAAACTTTTATATCTAGAGGGTAGGATAACTTTAGTGCAATCAGTACTAGCTAGTATTCCGACGTTTTTTGTATCCTTATTTAGGATGCCAAATATGGTTGTTATGAAAATACCAAAAATGATGAGAGACTTTTTGTGGAAAAGAAATGGTGAAAGGAGGAAGATTGTTTGGTTAGAGGGAGGTGGTTTCTAGACCTACGGATAGAGGTGGTCTTTCAATTGAAAACTTGAAGGCAAGAATTGTTGTTTTAGTGGGCAAGTGGCTATGGAGGTTTCCTTTGTAACAAAATGCTTTATGACATTTAGTTATCAAGAACAAATATGGATTACTGGCCAATGGATGAGACACAAAGTCACTAACAGGGTTAAAGGGGGAAGTTTCTCATGTCTGTGAAAATTCACATCTTAGGGATTGACGAAATTTTCTCAAAAGATTGGTTCTGTAGTGGGAAATGGGATAAAAGTTAATTTCTAGGAGGATGTATGGGAGGGGGAGTCATCTTTGTCATGCTTGTTTCCACGTTTCTATCATTTATCTTCCTATCATGACACGACTATTGCTTCCTTGATTAGTTCTTATAATGAACCGTATTCTTGGGATTTTGATTTTTGTAAAAATCTTGATGATAGAGATATGAGATGTGATCTCTTTTAAATACCCTTAATGACTATTTCTTGTGCTTTGTTGGGGGCATGTGATAGAAGAAGGTTGGCCCTTGAGCCTTCGAGTGTTTTTTCTTGTAAATCCTTCTATGATTTTCTTATTGATGATTCTTCTTGTCCACTTTTATACATGCTAAGATAATTTGGAAAAACTAAAGTACTGTTAAAAGTGCAAGTTTTTGCATAAACTGTTGTACATGATAAGATTAATATTGTCGATTTGTTTCAAAAAATGAGACCTCAATCTTGTCTTTGCCCGCAATGGTGTGTCATGTGAAAAGAGGATCATACAAGCATTGACCATTTATGCTTCCATTGCCATGTTGTAATGTCATTGTGGTATAAGTTGTTTAGATAGGTGGGTTTGAATTGATTCCCAATTGGCTACATATATGTTTGTTCAAGATTGGGTTGGTCTTGGGAGGAGTGATAAAGAATTTACATTTTGAAACTACGCCATTATGGCTACTTTGCATGTTATCTAGAAGGAGAGAAATACAAGAACCTTTGAAGATCTTGAAGAGTGTGTGAAAGGCTTATGGGACCATATTCATTTCTTGGCATCATTTTGGGCTTCAGCTACAAAAGATTTCAAAACCCACTCTTTACAATTTTGGCGGATGTCAAGTGTCATATGATATAGTACGTTTTTATGTATTTCCTTATTTGATTATGTTTTGCTTTTTATTGATTGGATTTCTTAGCCAACAATTTTGATGTAATATTTGTTTTTATTGATAATTTTTTTTTGTTTCCTATAAAAAAAAAGAGTACACATCATCTTTATACTCATTAAACTTTGTTGCTGCAGGCAAAAATTGCATATGCTAGAAGAAAAGTGGAAGTATACATGCATATAGTTAAAAAAAGCCTAATGGGAAAATGCATTTAATTTGGCTAAAAAATCTTACTGTTAATGAAGATCAGGAACACACAGACAAGATGAAAGTTTACTGTTTCATCTCAAGCTGAATTAGGAAACCTAGAACCCACGCTTTGGCTTTGGCTTTGGATTTGGAATTGGAACTGGAGCTCGTCTTATTAGTTCAAACATGAGAATATAAACTAGCCTTTCCTCCAATTCCACCTCCAACGAGTATTCCAAATCACCAAACACTGGATGAGTTCTCTCGAATTCCATAGCTAGTTAAAAAATCAAATATATCCAGCCGAGTATAAAAAATGTGCCAACCTACCCTTAGTAGACTGAGCAACAACGACCAGCACCAATTTGATGTTCCTTCCCCTAATCACAGCTCTGTTCTCATATTTGCAAAACCATAAACACAAGCAAATCAAAAAGTTACATACTTGTCCACTAAACGACCATTGCAATATATAATTAGCTGAAAATAGTGTTAAGGCATATTCGCGGATAGCTATGCAAATTTTCGCTACAATGAGCAACAAATAATATAGAGTAGGAGCGAAATCGTACTTGAGGTTATCGAGATCGGCGCAGACTTTAGCCCACTGGGCGGGATCACCGGAGACGTGATCGGAGCTGAAGAGAGCGGCGACGACAGCCGGAACCCTAGTCCGGTGCTTTAGAAGCCAATTTTTCTTCAAAATGCCACCGGGCTGACCCGAATCCGAAGACTTGTCTTTCGGAGTTTTAGCAATTACAGAGATCTTTGAGAAATCTGGAAGGGCTAGTGCGTTGATCGGTGGTTGTTCTGAGTGGAGGTGAGCCGTAATTGTCGGGTGGAGGTCTGGACATCCGACGAGAGATACTAAAGCCACCGGTGGTGTTCGGAGCACCTCCGGGTACTCTTCCATGGAGGTACGGCGTGTTGGTGAGATTCGAGATTGTGAAGAGATAGAAAATTAGGGTTTAGTAATGGAGTACGTGGAGAGAGAAGACCATTGGTGGTAAGATTGGTTTGTTTTCTGTAATGCTATGCAGATCAAATGAGTGATTGATTTACAGTATTCGTTCCAGACGGATTGTCTCGCTGTGAAACTCGGTTGAGTGAGGTGACTCAACGGTGACGATCAGATTACAACTTGGGTTTGCGAATTGGGCTGTGGAGACAGGCCCACGACGATATCGTATGAGGTCCAAATGAATAATGGGAAATTTGAAAGTCAGTTCTTTTTTGTAGATTTGTTTGAATTAGCCTAGAGTTGGTTCAATTGTTCTTGTTGGTATTCTTTTTTTCAAAAATTGTTGATGTTTTTTTGATGAGTGTTTGAGTTTTAAGGGTTTGTTAGGGTGTTATTAGTTGGGGGAGGATCCAAAGTTGAAGGCATTGAAGAAGGAGTGGTTCGAAGTCGATGATTGTTTTTATGTTGGTTGCAACAATAGATTAATTACTATTACAGTTGGTAATTAGTTTTTTGATGACAAGTTAATTCAAATTCCAGTTTTGCAAATGTATTGCTTTTTTTTTTTTCATTTTCCATTTTTCATTTTAAGTTGTTGTTTTTCAAATATGATTGTTGTTATTAGTTCTGAACACCATTGAAGAAACTCTTCAAATATCATTGTTGTTTTTTATTTTAAGTTGTTATTTCACACCCAAAAATATAGGGAAAGGAAATGTAAAGTTGTATCGTTAGTGTTTTATAGATGTGTTTGCCTAATTAAAATGCCATAAACACATCTCTATATTATAGATGTTTTTTTCTTACAGGCCCGAAACTCTACATATTTATTGTTATCAATATTTTACTAATTTTCAAGTTCGTACGAAAATATGACATTTTGCTGTGTCACCTATATAGTGATATAACTATTTTTTTTATTGGAATAATCAATGAAAATAACTTTGTTCCTGATGCATTATGTGTATTCTATATGTGGGTGCTTTCTATGGAATCAATGTGGATATCTTTGGTTCTTATTCTTAATTTCCAAATTTCCAAACTTCCATTTATTCTTCTTCTTTTCCTTCAATATATATAAGGTACTTTTTAGAAGTAATATAGATATATATATTGTAATATATGCAATTTCATATGTAATTACATTCAAGAGAGTTGGTTAGAAAATATTCGGTGCTCACAAGGTATTTTGGATTTGATTTTGGTTTTAATTTGAGTGTTAATTTGGGTGTTAATTTTGAATGTTAAATTGGTTTAAGGATTTATTGCATTCTATACACCCATTTTTGGTAAAATAATTCTAAATAATAATTCAAAACATGACTACAGTATAGTCTTGAATATAGTAGATTGGGTTTTAATGGGCGAAATAAAGGAGTGGGAGTAGTAGATGGTCTTGTTAGTAAATGGTTTTGATTGTTACATTCAACTTGCAAGTAGAGCCTTCATTTCTACTCGTTGAGTCTGAGTGTTTGGTGGATATGGCAATGGTATTGTTACCCACAAAAAAAATAATAATAATTTCAATACTATTTGAAGTGGTGGTATCTTAGTTTGATACATTTGAACCCATTGAGTGTGACAATAATGAAGTAAACATAAAAAAAAAAATTACACATCATGTTTTTCTATTGGACAAAAATTGATGCATGATAGTAATTTAATAAATTGAATGTTAACAAATTTAACACTTGGAAACAGAAGTGCAGAGTGCAGTATATGAGTACCTAATATACATTTATATTTTATAACCCCAANATTGGAATAATCAATGAAAATAACTTTGTTCCTGATGCATTATGTGTATTCTATATGTGTGTTCTTTCTATGGAATAAATGTGGATATCTTTGGTTCTTATTCTTAATTTCCAAACTTCCATTTATTCTTCTTCTTTTCCTTCAATATATATAAGGTACTTTTTAGAAGTAATATAGATATATATATATTGCAATATATGCAATTTCATATGTAATTACATTCAAGAGAGTTGGTTAGAAAATATTCGGTGCTCACAAGGTATTTTGGATTTGATTTTGATGATTTTGGTTTTAATTTGAGTGTTAATTTGGGTGTTAATTTTGAATGTTAAATTGGTTTAAGGATTTATTGCATTCTATACACCCATTTTTGGTAAAATAATTCTAAATAATAATTCAAAACATGACTATAGTATAGTCTTGAATATAGTAGATTGGGTTTTAATGGGCGAAATAAAGGAGTGGGAGTAGTAGATGGTCTTGTTATTAAATGGTTTTGATTGTTACATTCAACTTGCAAGTAGAGCCTTCATTTCTACTCGTTGAGTTTGAGTGTTTGGTGGATATGGCAATGGTATTGTTATCCACAAAAAAATAATAATAATTTCAATACTATTTGAAGTGGTGGTATCTTAGTTTGATACATTTGAACCCATTGAGTGTGACAATAATGAAGTAAACATAAAAAAAAAAAAAAAAAAATTACACCATGTTTTTCTATTGGACAAAAATTGATGCATGATAGTAATTTAACAAATTGAATGTTAACAAATTTAACACTTGGAAACCGAAGTGCAGAGTGCAGTATATGAGTACCTAATATACATTTATATTTTATAACCCCAAAACATTTCCATAGCCTAGCACCATGAGAAGTGGAAAAGAGTCCATGCATCAAAATTAATTTGGACATTTACAACCTGTCGTTTGCAAAATAAAAACGTCTGTCTAACTTACCACATCTACTTCTCAAATAAGTGGCATATTAGGTGGAAATAAAAGAAATGGGATTAACCACCCATTTTAAACAGAAAACATGATAAGCAAAGGTGTTTACTAACGATTTGCATAATCTTCCCCCTCACCTTGTTACTGAATAGCATATCTACCGTGATGCTCAATGAAATTAGTCATTCAAATGTGGGTTCTTTCATGATTTCTTTCTCTTAATCGCTTAGTGCGCAAAATTTTCATTTTCCTCCATTAATGCTTGAGTTTCTTGNTAGTATAGTCTTGAATATAGTAGATTGGGTTTTAATGGGCGAAATAAAGGAGTGGGAGTAGTAGATGGTCTTGTTATTAAATGGTTTTGATTGTTACATTCAACTTGCAAGTAGAGCCTTCATTTCTACTCGTTGAGTTTGAGTGTTTGGTGGATATGGCAATGGTATTGTTATCCACAAAAAAATAATAATAATTTCAATACTATTTGAAGTGGTGGTATCTTAGTTTGATACATTTGAACCCATTGAGTGTGACAATAATGAAGTAAACATAAAAAAAAAAATTACACATCATGTTTTTCTATTGGACAAAAATTGATGCATGATAGTAATTTAATAAATTGAATGTTAACAAATTTAACACTTGGAAACAGAAGTGCAGAGTGCAGTATATGAGTACCTAATATACATTTATATTTTATAACCCCAAAACATTTCCATAGCCTAGCACCATGAGAAGTGGAAAAGAGTCCATGCATCAAAATTAATTTGGACATTTACAACCTGTCGTTTGCAAAATAAAAACGTCTGTCCAACTTACCACATCTACTTCTCAAATAAGTGGCATATTAGGTGGAAATAAAAGAAATGGGATTAACCACCCATTTTAAATAGAAAATATGATAAGCAAAGGTGTTTACTAATGATTTGCATAATCTTCCCCCTCACCTTGTTACTGAATAGCATATCTACCGTGATGCTCAATGAAATTAGTCATTCAAATGTGGGTTCTTTCATGATTTCTTTCTCTTAATCGCTTAGTGCGCAAAATTTTCATTTTCCTCCATTAATGCTTGAGTTTCTTGTTTCCAATTTTTTTTTTATACCAGGAAAAAGGAAGACAACAACAAATAATTATTCAATTGTACTAGAGGTTATACAAATTGTTTCATGGGAATGCAAAAGAAAAAAGAACTAAACACTCATTTCATGCATTTTTTTTTGTGCGTGTGTCGTCCTCAAAGTCTAAAGTAAAAGAAATGACAACTTCTTTTCACAAGAGATAATATTATTGCACCATTGCTTAGTTTGATTAGTTCACCTTTCAATTGAATGAATTCACAAGTTTTTGTTACATTCACTATTTTTTAAATTTGGTTGCTTTGGTTGTTTGTGTGAATCCTACCCTTTTGTGATTGTATGTTTACTCCCACTTGATTAATTATTTGTTTAATTTGGTTATATTGTTTATAGTTAATTGCTTTGTTTTATTAACTAACTTTATAGGCACAGTTCTGGTTTTCTGAGCTCACCATATTTAATTATGTGAGTATTTTTTTTTGTTTTCTTTCCTGTTACTGTCATTGGTATTGTTGAAATTACTTTGTTGTATTTAAGTCTCAAGTCATTATTTTTTATAGATGAATATTATTTTTTATAGATGAATNACATTCACTATTTTTTAAATTTGGTTGCTTTGGTTGTTTGTGTGAATCCTACCCTTTTGTGACTGTATGTTTACTCCCACTTGATTAATTATTTGTTTAATTTGGTTAAATTGTTTATAGTTAATTGCTTTGTTTTATTAACTAACTTTATAGGCACAGTTCTGGTTTTCTGAGCTCACCATATTTAATTATGCGAGTATTTTTTTTTTTTTGGTTTTCTTTCCTGTTACTGTCATTGGTATTGTTGAAATTACTTTGTTGTATTTAAGTCTCAAGTCATTATTTTTTATAGATGAATATTATTTTTTATAGATGAATCCGAACCTTTGGGAAGCAATAATATTAATTACATTGCGCCTACACTTTGTAAATTTTAATACGCCTACAATTCAATTTATTAAGGCTGCTTTTACAGGTAGATCTAAATGAGAGCAACGACATACCTATCAATATTTTGTCTCAACGTGCGCTCAATAAATTGTGTATGGATAAGGTAACACAACTGGTATTGTCAAAAAAATTTATTTTGATTTTAGCATNCGAGTATTTTTTTTTTTTTGGTTTTCTTTCCTGTTACTGTCAT